ACCACCCAGTGTCACACACAGCCCTGCACCACCCAGTGTCACGGAGGTCCCAGGATTCTCAGGGACAGGGAGGTGGGCTGGGCTGGGCTGGGCTGGGCTGGATTTCTCCTTCAGCATGAAAAGGGCCAGCTTTTCCAGCTTGCTCTTTTCAGGGATTATCTTCAGCTGTGCCCAAGGGTATGTAGAGAGGTTGATTTTTAGAGACAGCTGATTCAAGATAAGCTCAACGATAAAGTGATGCTAAACCAAGTTGGGTTTTTTTTAAAGCTTTTTTATTATCTCCAGGTTTACCTTGATGGGTTTTTTCTAATTCCTGGGCATAGAACTGAGGAATGAGGAAAGGTTTCTCAAAGCTCCAGATAAAATAAGACCACACTGGAGTGAAGCTGAAGCTGTCCTTATTTATCYCAGAGGTCTTTGGGACAGACATTGTCCTCTCCACAAACACTTTCCAGTCACAATTGCAGAACAGACCCTGGCACATGGAATCTCGTTYCTCTCTGTTGTTCCTGCCCAGTCTCAGTGGAGGAACTGCTCACATAATGATGCCCTGAGATGTTCCTTTCCCCTCCTGTGCTAAGGGGAGGACAGTATTCATATGCAGCTCCTTCTTCTCTGGGGAGTCTCACAAATCCCTCCTGCTTTCGCACTGGAACATGGGGTGCTGAAAAACAGGAGGACTGGATCCATCAGATGACTTTCCTCAGTTGCTTCTTACTGCTTGAATGCAGGGAGGCAGTGCAGGAGTTGTGTTTAAAGTTGTGTTTCTTGAAATAATTTTTCTCATGCTGGAAGACAAATTGAAATTTAATTCAAATAAACTTGAGCAGTAAAAATTAGGGCTGAGTATCACTGTAAACTGAACACCCCCAACTGTCCCAGCCAGACTCCAGCCCTCAGAGCAGCTCCATGGCCCATCTTTTGGAAGAACTTGTAATAATCAAATTAATCTGTTTATGAATGTATAAAATCTCGATCAGATGATAGTGTTTCCAAGATGAACCATTCTTGASCTCCTCTGTTTGGAATCCTATATCTGACAAAGCCAAGTGTGGGGTCCAAGTTCCCGGGACTGAAGGGTAAGATCCAGAGGAAAAGAAAGCCCAACAAATATTTTTATTAGAAAAACTGAGGGAAAAATGAGTGTGAGTGTGAGTGTGTGTGTGTGTGTGTGTGTGTGTGTTAGTGGCTGGCTGATCTCCAGCTGCAGGAAATGAGCTCTGGTGTCAGTGTGGACACTGTACTGCTCACAGCAATGGTGGAGATGCTGAGCACAGTCCTGGCGGGYTGKGACTTCACCCTGAACCAGCAGTTSCTTYCTGGGGTGGACGTGTYCCACCCTTTGCTGGGTGTGCAGCCYGTGGTGCTGCATTTCACACCAGGTGTTATTTTCACCAGGCCCTTGGAGCTCAGCGAGAACAGCAGCTCACAGAGGAATTCCCTGGAGGAGGGGATCAGGTCTGAACAGAGAACCAACTCCATATCTGGGTGAGTGAAGCAGCTGGGGCAGGGGCTGGATAGTTCCTCCTCTTTTAGGGGGCAGGGGCTGGATAGTTCCTCCTTTTCTAGGGGGCACGGGCTGGATAGTTCCTCCCTTTTTAGGGGGCAGGGGCTGGATAGTTCCTCCTTTTCTAGGGGGCACGGGCTGGATAGTTCCTCCTCTTTTAGGGGGCAGGGGCTGGATAGTTCCTCCTTTTCTAGGGGGCACGGGCTGGATAGTTCCTCCTTTTCTAAGGGGCAGGGGCTGGATAGTTCCTCCTTTTTTAGGGGGCAGGGCCTGGATAGTTCCTCCTTTTCTAGGGGGCAGGGGCTGCAGGGGAAGGATTTGGTGGAGGAAGGGAAACTGATCTGAACCAACCTCACAGAATCCCAGGATGGCTTGGGTTGGAGAGACCTTCAAGACTTTCTGGTTCCAACCTCCAGCCATGTGGGAGCTGCTCCAAGGAGGGCCAGTCCCAGCCCCATCCAACCAGAAACTCCTTACAGGAAACTTGTCTGTGTTTTGTGTCCTCCCCCATCCCGCGGTGATGCCGTGGATGTGGCATTGGGCAGGACACCCTGAGCTGCCATTGCCGTGCAGCTGAGCTGTGATGGACCCACCACACTCCCAATCCCTGTTTCTCCCTGTCCAGGCTGAGCTGTGATGGACCCACATCCTCCCAATTCCTGTTTCTGTCCTGTCCAGGCTGAGCTGTGATGGACCCACATCCTCCCTATTCCCATTTTTCTCCTCTCCAGGCTGACCCCGTCCCCGCTCCCTCCAGCCGATCCCGCAGCCCCGGTGCAGGCTGAGCTGTGAATCACCCACCACACTCCCAATTCCCATTTTTCTCCCCTCCAGGCTGACCCCGTCCCCGCTCCCTCCAGCCGATCCCGCAGCCCCGGTGCGCACAGCCAAGGCCGAGCGGCGGCACCAGGAGCGGCTGCGCATGCAGAGCCCGGAGCTGCTGAGCACCCAGGACAAGGACAAGGAGCTGTCTCCAGCGGAACGCCGGGCTCTGGAGGCAGAGAAACGGGCCATGTGGAGGGCAGCACGGTGAGCCAGAGCCTGCTGCTCTGTGGGGCCAGGGCGGGGAGCTGCTGGGTGTCTGGGGCCCAGAGGAGACAAAAACAGGGAATAGGGAACCCTCCAAAGGGTCATGCTGAGGGAGCTCCTGTAGGATCTGTTCAAGCAGGGCAAAGGACTGGCAGCTTGTGTAGGATCTGTTCAAGCAGGGCAAAGGACTGGCAGCTTGTGTAGGATCTGTTCAAGCAGGGCAAAGGACTGGCAGCTTGCCTGAGCTCCTGTCACTTGTGTCAGCAGCCAGGGGAGAAGGCTCCCAGAGTGCCACAGTGCCTGCCCAGCACAGCCATGGACACGGGAGAGCTCGTGATGAACACGGGCACGCCTGTGTGTTATGGTGGGTGTGCTCCTTCCCTCAGCAYACCGTTCCCATCTGCTTTGTAACCCATGTAGAATGTGATACTGAAGCCACAAGGTCACATACCCAAAATGAGAACTGGCATTTTGTATTTCTAGTGTTGGTGGAATCATTCTGCAGCCAGGACATTGGTAGGGTGAGGCCATTCTTACCCACATGAGCCGTTCCATCAGCTTTGAAAGAGTGAAAAATTGTCRTGGAAGAAAGAAAACTTCCTAATTCAGAACATAAGACTTGAAGCTAGTCCAGGCGTTTACTGCATCATAGAATTCCTTCCAAATATTATTCAGGCTGCTCCTATAACTAATTAGTTTTTCTTCTCATGATATTCCTCTAGGAGACATTCAGAGAATAGTCTGAACTGTCTCTTTTGGTGTTCGGATGAGGCTTGGAGAGGAGCAGGGTTTTAGATGAGATTGGAGGAATCACCATAAGCTGTGATTCCACTTAGCAATTCCAGTGTTTGTACTTGACATGGATGATCACGGGCCTGTTGCTCCTGGGGAGGCTCTGAGAATGGAGAAATGCAAAGTGGATCCTCAGTGAGAGCTGGACTGATGTTCTGGGGSTTTGAGCAAATTTTCTTTGAGATTAGTTTTTATAGAATCCCAGGATGGTGGGAAAGGACCATCAGGACCATCCAGTCCCACTCCCTGCCATGGACAGGGACACCTTCCACTGTCCCAGTTTGCTCCAAGCCCTGTCCAACCTGGCCTTGGACACTGCCAGGGATGGAACAGCCAGAGCTTCTCTGGGCACCCTGTGCCAGGGCCTCATCAACCTCACAGGGAAGGATTTCTTCCCCAGATCCSCTCTAACCTCACCCTCTGGCTGCGGGAAGCCWTTCCCCCTTGTCACTCCAGACATTTGTCCAAAGTCTCCCTCCAGCTGTCTTGGAGCCTCTTGAAGGATTGYCTTGCTCTGCCTTACCCTTCCTTATGAGGTTGGAGAGACCACTGCGTTTGTTGTGCTGCAGTGCTTGGAGGGCTGGAATCACACATCTCTGTCTCAGTGAAACAGTGCCAAAGCAGCACCAATGTGATGCTGTGAATGTGACACGAGTTTCACTCCCTCGTGCCTCCACTTCTCTGGAATGTTCCTGACATGATGGGGAAGGCTTTCTGAGCTCTGTCAGCTCTGATTCCTGCCCAAGATTGAACGTATCCAAGGCATGYTGTAGTGGAAGCTTTGTTTAAATGGGTGTCACAAGAGCAGGATGTTGTTTGTGCAGACCTTTGGAAGCAGAGTCCATGCAGGGACAGTGCAGATGTTCCAGATGTGCACCTCTGGTCTCAGGACTCTGCTCTTCCAGGAGCTTGGTGTTGCCAGCAGATAAATCTGAAAGTGCTGGGAGGGGAGAGGATGGTTTTAGGTGACGATATGATTTGCTCCTGTAATGTTCATCTGCCCGTGGTCTTGGGCCAGCTGGGATTTGGCTGGAGTTGCTCAGGGCACAGTGGAAGTTCCACATGACACTGTAGGAGGGKTAGTGAGTGTGGAGCACCGTGGCTGGTCCACTGTAGGCAGAAGAGAGTCTCTCATACCAAACATTCAGTCTCTTTAAGTGTGTTTTGTGTATGGAAAATGGATCTGGTGGAAGAAGAGCCTTCCAGAGCAGGGAGTACCTGTCAAGGAGAAGGWGCTTGAGCTGTCAGATCCAGCCTTACTGGTTTAAGTTGGGCAGACCAGGGCTTCAGCTCCACTTTGCTCCCAATGCCGAGGCACAGCTTTTTGTGCAGTTCTTGGAGAAGTGCCTGGCCGAAGCGTTGAGCAGGAATCRGTCACTGAAATGTGCTCCTTTTTGTACGACAAGGAGGGACCTTGTGCTGCAGATCTCCAGGAGGATCCGGTGACCTCGGGGTCCCTCTGTGGAATGGGCACAGTGATGTGATCAGGTCCTGTCTCCAGAGGCCCCTGTGGTGCAGGGGAAGTTCTRCCCCACCCCACACATGGGGCTCAGCCCCACTAACCCCTGTTCTCCAAGTGCCGCTGGGTTTGTTCCTCCCTTTCTAATCTCCTGTCTTCTGCTTCTTTCCAGTTCTCTGCTCTGTGCTGTCACTCGTGACCCCATCAGTTTGCACCTTCTTGGGCTTTCCCTGTTGTCCCCGTGTCATCAGTGCTCTGCCAGGATGTGTGATGCCCCTCCTTCCCCTGCCTGCTCGTGCTCAGTTGTGACACACGCAGACCCATGTTACATACGTGTT